ATCTTTGGTTGTCTTTTTTATCCATGGCTTAAGCCATATACACAAAATAAGTTTCACCCTAGATCTACACTTTGTGTCTACTTAGGAGTTTTTATTGTTCATCATGCACACCTTTGCTTTGATCTAGTATACTAAAAAAATTTCGTCAGTCGTGATGTTCAATTTTGTGAAGACATTTTTACTTACACTCAAATGTTCTCACACTTGCAAAATAAGGTTTTCAAGTTACAATGGGAAATCATAGTGTCCCAAGTCTGTAAGGATACTCAGCCGACAGTCCAATTAAATTTGGATTCCAATCTAGTTCAAACTCTTCCACATCCTATTCCTATCACCTTAACAGTTCCCTCTCATTCAAACACTCCAGAGTCCAGAATTGAAAGCCAACTACCAGCAGTCTCCACTTCATCAGGTATGATTCTTATATTTACTCAACCTCCTTCGCTACTTAATGAAGCAACCCACAACTCTCGCCCATTATCCGATTCCCATTGTCCATCACACAACCAACAGCCACTGAATGCACAAGCAATTATGCCACCTGCCGCTGCACCACCACCATCCAGTGTTGTCACATGGTCCAAAAATAATATCTTCACACCAAAGAAAAAATTCAGCTTCTTGGCTCACCTTTATCCCACTCCAAATACCTTTAACTAAGTTGTTAAGCACTTTGAATGGAAGAATGCAATGGATCTGGAATACGAAGCCTTAATGAGAAACCAAACTTGGGAACTAGTACCTAGGGACCTGATAAACAATGTTGTTGATTGTAAGTGGTTATTTCACATTAAAAAGAAGGTTGATAGTTCTATTGATAGGTACAAGGCGCGATTAGTCGCAAAAGGTTTCACACGATGTCCAGGATTGGATTTTCATGAAACTTTCAGTCAGGTTGTCAAACCAACCACCATCAGAATTGTTCTTTCTATTGCAATTCAAAATAACTGGGAGGTTCAGTAGCTTGATGTGAACAATGCATTATTGCAAGGTAACTTACAGGAGTAAGTATTCATGGCGCAGCCGAAAGGCTATGTCAACCCTGATTTTCCCAATCATGTTTTTCGTCTCAAAAAGGCCATTTACGGACAGAACAAGCTCCTCATGCCTGGTATGAAGCTCTCAAATCTCACTTGACTATAATTAAGTTTATTACGTCTGAATCAGATATTTCTCTGTTTATTTTCACATCCGAAACTGTCACGATGTATATTCTAGTGTATGTAATCAACTCTCTGGCTGACAAGTACTCCCTAAAGAACATTGGTGAATTCAACTATTTTTTGGGGATCGAAGTTAAACATGTTCCAAATGGGATTGTCTTATCGCAATCCAAATACATACTTGAGATTCTCTTGGATGCGGATATGGCCAACTGCAAAGGAGTTACGACACCCATGTGCTCAAGCTCACCACCCAAAGCAGGCGATGGTTCACCTCCTGCCGATACAACCTTGTGTCGATGCATTATTGGTAAATTGCAATATTTATCATTAACGTGTCCTGATATTTCCTTTGCAGTTAACAAACTATCACAATTTATGCAATCCCCAAGTTTAGAGCATTGGAAAGTAGCAAAAAAGGTGTTGCGATACCTCAAGGCATCATGAACGTCGTGTCTGCAAATATCTAGCCACTCTGATAGTAATATGTATATGTATCACGCCATACATCTAAATTCGTCCTTAAAATTCTTTTATTAAGAGATGATTGTTGTTTCCTACTTTAACAATGGGAATGTTGAGTTTCTTAAGTTGAGTATCTTGAGAATAAGTTATGATTTTTTATAGGAGTTATGTGAAATTTCTATGAATTCATGCTAGGTTTGTGAATCAAAAAGATTTTAGAAGAAATCACTCGATTCTGGATGAGTTAGGACCCGAATGAAGTAGAAAAATTTATTAGAATTTTGGGCAGGGGTGTGGGCGTCGCGTCACCCATAGAGCCTGAACTCCTGCCCAGTAGTTTGGGGCCTCGGCCAGTAATTTAGGAACTGGTGCCCTATGTCACTTAGTATGCCAAAGCCGCCTCGTCTTTTTCTTTTGGTGTTCATTTATGGACGTGTTCCTTTGAATTGTGACTATGTTCTCTTCTTCGTCTTAGCTCCTAAATGCTCTATTAATCCTTGAGAATCGTACATATCCTAATCACATGGATTTATTTGCATTTAAAATTAAAGTGAGGTTAAGAGGAAAATTTAAGAGGTCCTTTTGAATCATTTTGAAAATTCTTTCGTAATTAAGTATAGTTTTAAAGTAAGTATGACAATGAGAAGTGCTGCATTCATGATCGGAAAAAGAGTATATAAAAACTAAAAAGTCTCAAATGTAACACTTTCACATTTTGAAAGAGGGAAAGTTGATTCTAAATGAGTTTATTTGTTCAGAGAAGTTTCAGAGTATTACCTCTTTTAAGAGGATCTTTTGAGTATTTAGAACAAATTAAGAAAGAGTTATGGTTTATACATTTGAGAATGAGTTTATATATTATTTGGAGTAGTATTGAGCACTAATATGAGGATAAGTTCAGAGAGCTCACATTCTTCATAAACTATGTAGCAACATGGTTAAGGGTCGTACTTTTTAGACGATTTCTTATTGCTTTTAAATATAACTTAGTGGAACCACTTAGTTGAGGTGTTTTATACCCCGGTCAGGTATAAAATAGTTCTGGCAGTTTATGCAAAATGTTGTATCATCACATAACCCATGGTGATGATTGTCGATTAGAGAATCTCTCAAATAACATAAAAGAATAACTTTCTGTACTTTTATACTTCTTGAGTTGATATTTACCGTTTTTAATATTGCATCTCTTATTACTGCTTTAATATATGGGAATTGAGTTGAGGTGAGTATTGTCTTCCCATGTTATTAGTTCAGTTATCTATGCTTCAATTTTCCATGTATGCTCGTACATTCAATGTACTAACGTCATTCGACCTGCATCTTATTTATGATGCAGATACATGTTCAGGGTCATCAACAGGCACTTCGTTTACAACATTTGCACTACAACTAGTTTTGGTGAGCCTCCTTGCTTTCTGGTGGGCTCCACATTTATATTTCTACTTTGTAAAAATATCGTGGGTCTTCTCCCTGCATCTATGATAGTATTTAGACTTCGTAGATAGATAGAAGTTGGGTAGTCTTTCATTATTTTCTTTTGTTTAGATGTTTTGAGGTCTTGAGACACTTATCTATACGATGTTAGTCATTTTCAGGCATTTATTTGAGTTAAGAATTAACTTGAGACTTTAAAGTTTAATATTGAAATTAATGGTCCCTATTTTTCTTGAGTTAATCTTTTGCTAAGTAGTCAACAACATTTCACTCAATAATTCAAAATTAATTAGTTTATACATCAATAATGAGAATAACTTTTATGAATACAAGAAAGAAATTTTAACTAATTTTCTAAAGTGCTATGTATGTGAGACTTTGGGAATGGATCAAAGCACTGAATTTCAAAAATAGCATGTTAGCGGAAACGCGAAGTTAAAGAACAAGGAAGAATAACAATATTTAACGTGGTTCGGATCAAAATGATCCTACGTCCATCAAAGAACAACTTCACCAATATTTATTTCACTCTATAAAGAATGCAAGTGAAATACTACAAGAAAGAAAACACAAATGCCTTAGAAGGTGAGAAGACAAGTGAGAGGATGATTTAAAAATAAATTAAGGGCTACCTATTTATAGGAATAAATTCATCCTATTGATGTCATTCATGACATCACTATGTGTCAAAATTGTGCAGGTTAAGAATATGAAAGATTTTATGGTTTGCCTACATTTCACCTACCAAGATACTATCTTTAGCTTTTATTTGTTCTAATTATCTTTCTACCATATATTTATTAATTCATCTTCCATTTAGTTTGATTCCATAAGAACCAAACCAACTCTTTCAATCTCCACCTTGGTTTGTGTTCCAAGCATGTGTATAAATAACTCCGACCAAAACTTCTAAGCTTACTGGGTAATCCCGTTGTAAGAAACAAGAAGAATCAAACCTTTGTTGAACATACCAGCTCCACCTAGCAGTTGTTCTCTTAGAGTTGTATCAATTGATGGATACTACCACCAAGTCCTTGTAGTGTGCAAAGTTGGCAAGCGGGACTATTTTGGTCAACATGTCTGCAGCGTTATCGTATGTGATAACCTTCCCAACCTTGATAGCTCCCTCTTCTACGACATCTCGAATAAAATGAAATCTGACATCAATATTTTTGGTGCGCTCATTAAATCTTTGATTTTTAATCAAATGAATAACACTTTGACTATCACATCTTAGAATTGGTTCAGATTGAACCGAACTCAATTGTACCACAAAACCTTTCAACCAGATAGCTTCTTTCACTGCCTCTGTTGCTGCCATATATTCTGCCTCTGTTGTAGACAAAGCGACAATAGACTGTAAAGTCAATTTCCAACTAACGGCACTTCCAACAAGAGTAAAGATGTATCCAATTGTGGACCTCCTTCGATCAAGATCCCCTGCATAGTCAGAATCTACACAATCGATAATTGAAATGCCTTCACTTTTTCGGAAGGTTAGGCCAACATTAGAAGCTCCTTTGAGATATCTCAATATCCACTTGACAGTTTTCCAATGCCTTTTTCCTGGATTTGCCATGTACCTGCTTACCACACTTACAGATTGGTCAATATCTGGACGTGTGTACACCATAGCATACACTATGCTACCAACTGCGTTCGCATAAGGAACCCTTTGACATATGCTCCACCTCATCCATAGACTGAGGCTTTTTGTAACTCTGAAAGCTTGAAATGAGAAGTTAATGGTTTACTTACAGGCTTGCTCATATGCATATTGAATATTTCAAGAACTTTCTCGATGTACCTCTTTTAAGAAAGATGTACAACACCATTTTCTCTTGAAATCTTCATTCCAAGAATTTTCTTTGAAACTCCCAAATCCTTCATGTCAAATTCCTCACTCAAAAGTTTCTTTAAAATATTTATCTCTATGATGTTGTTAGCAGCAATAAATAAGCATATCATCAACATACTACAATAGATAAATCATAGAATTACCAGACATCTTCTTATGATACACACAACTATCAAATGCACTCCTCAAAAATCCATATGTAGTCATGAATGCATCAAATCTCTTGTACCACTGTCTAGGGGATTTCTTTAAACCATACTGTTGAATGCCTTGAATCGGACCCATTGTAACAACATCTAGATGGTCTTGCAACGAAGTACCTGAATCCATCTTAAATGTATGAAGACGCCATTGTAACAACATTTTTGTTGTCACTGAGTGGTCCTGGTAAAGCCCTTCCAGCTTTTCCCATAACTCTTTGGCCATCTCTTCAGTACTTGTAGTCACTTCACATAGTACGTTAGGTGCAAGGGACAGTTGGATTACACTCAATGCATCTCCTTCAATCTTCTCCTTGTCGGAATCCGATATTTTATCGGGATATTTTTCGCCAATAGCATGGATTGAACCTTCCCTCCGTAGTAACGCCATCATCTGGATTTTCCAGATATTGAAGTTGTTGCGCCCACTAAATCTATCAATTTCAAACTTCATGAAACTCATTTTTTTACTTGTTCTTCCTTTTCTAATACAATGTATTAAGAATTACAGAAAACCAAAGTTATCCTTTTCTGATGTGGAAGTTCAGACTGTGCTGCAACCACAGAGCATACTCAGACAGAACCTTGCTTCTGATATCAATTGTTAGCGGAAACTTGAAGTTAAAGAACAAGGAAGAACAACAATATTTAACGTGGTTTAGATCAAAATGATCCTACGTCCACCAAAGAACAACTGCACCAATATTTATTCACTCTATAAAGAATATAAGTGAAATACTACAAGAGAGAGAACACAAATGCCTTAGAACGTGAGAAAGCAAGTGAGAGGATGATTTGAAAATGAATTAAGAGCTACCTATTTATAGGAATAAATTCATCTTATTGATGTCATCCATGACATTACTATGTGTCAAAATTGTCAAGGTTAAGAATATGAAACCATTTTATGGTTTGCCTAAATTTTACCTACCAACATACTATCTTTGACTTTTATTTTGTACTAATTATCTTCCTACCAAATATTTGTTAATTCATCTTCCATTTAGTTTGATTCCACAAGAACCAAACCAACTCTTTCATAGCATCAAAGATGGCACAATCAAGAAAGATTATCTTACCAAGAACGAATAATTCCAGTTCATCAGGCTTTGAGGATCTAAGATTAGCATAGAACAGATGGACTAGAGGCTCATAAGCAAATTTAGGAGTGGATGAGAAAATGTTAGCTCCACATTAATTTCCTCAACAAAACTAGGGAATGCGAGTTTCATAAGTGACACTCTACGTTAATTGTCTCCTCTACCCTCCAAAACACCCCACCTCCACTTCCTTCTCTGCCTCCATTCCTTCCACCCCACACACTCCTATCCTTCACCCCACACCATAGCGTTTTTACACCTTTCTTCAAGGTGAGTTTCAACGTAAGATTGTGGTTTTTTTATATTTACTGTACTTAACATTTCTACAACAAACTAGCAAGCAACATCACTAGATAATTCCATCAATTAATTGATGCAACTCAAGCGAAGTTAAAGCAAATTTTAAGAGTGGGCAAAATTTTTTGACAATCTAATTCACTTTCCTGAAAACCATGTTTCTAAACAATGCTTTCTTAGTACTTAAGAAAGACCTTACACCATTAATTTGATTGTTTCTTCCATGTAACTAAAATTCTTGTTAAAGACTTCTTCAAATAGTATTTTTGTATAATCCAGAAGAGACAACTTGAATGAATGGAACATATCTTCAACAACAACATCAAAAACAACAACACCTTTCCCCGTGAAAAATCCCACAAATGAATTCTAGGGAAGGTAGAATGTATGCAAACCTTACCAACTATACTCTTATTTGATTCAGGCCAACTATTTCAGATCTTCCTTCAATTTATTATTGTATCGTTTGAGATTAAGCATTCTTGTTTAGTCTATAAGTAGGAATAGCCATTAAAGGATTTTCTCTGCTTGTTGCTAACCCAAAGTGATCCTCAACATCCAAATCACAAGGCTCCATACCATTTGGAAGCTCCCAATCAAAGCAATGCACCAGTTGTGCTACTGTAAGTTGGACAATGATGATCCCTAACTGCATTCCAGGGCAACTTCTTCTGCCAGAGCCAAATGGTAAAAGTTGGAAGTCACGTCCACGAATGTCTATATTACTCCCAACAAACCTCTCGGGCAAAAACTTTTCAGCCCCAAGCCAAATATTTGGATCCCTTTGAATAGCATAATAATTAAT